TCAGTGTGGGCTTTTTCCAGTCAAGATACTGCGAACAACACGGTCAAATTCGAGACATGCACCAATCAATCTGCCTGTCATTGCCATTGCCGCAGAAACCCACCAGTTTTCTGCTGGTCACTTGGTCTCTTGCCAACCAAAATCTCAAGCGGGTTCGGTGTGCGGATTAGGCCACTCGAGCACCACCTAGCACCGATTGAACGGGGGACGCCCTGGGGTTTTGGCCCCCAACCTTGAGCCTGTGGTGGCTCCGTGTGGGAGGAGAACCAACCCAGGCGCACACGAATGCCAGCTTACCAGGTGTCTACCATGCATGTAGCTACCTAGGTAGGTAAGGTGCCTTGGCCATCCGCCATTCCTCTTCTCCTTTCCCCGGGCTCGACCAGATAGTCAGACTGGGATAGGTGGTCAAGCTCCCTTTCATCTCCTACCAAGACGCCGTCGCAACCGATGCCAGGGAAAGGTTTCCCAAAATAAAGGCACATCATCCAGCAGGATCACGCGCGCAAGGCATGGCAGCGAGTAGGGCGGCTTCTGGACGATTTGGAGGGGGGCAGTGCTTCGCCCCCCCGTCGCCCTACGGCGTCCCTATCGTGGCCTATCGATTGGTGAAAGATCCGCTAGAGGCCCGGCCCTGCCCGCCGCGGCGCTGACGGGACCCGTCAGCTAGGCCCCAGTGCCTGTGCATTGCAGCGGCGTGGGGCGACCCAGGACCTGCCCTCCCTGGACCTGGACCTGGACCTAGACACAGACACAGACCCAGACCCAGGCGATTCGACAAGCGACAAGGCTGCATATCCCTCCTGGCCGGCTATCCTCCGCTTCTGCCATGCACTTCAGCTGGCTGCTGACATTCGTTTGATTTTCATTTTCCTCTTCCTCTTTTTCCTTGGTCTCCAGAACTTGCGTCGTACTAGCATCCTCTTGTTACAGGAATCGCATCGTGTCGTGAGTGACGCCAAAGTACACACAGCGTAACGCTCGCCTGCTCAACCTCCAGCCATCGAATAGCATCCACGGTTTCCAGCCGCGAACGTCTCGCCTTGCTCGCCCTCCCCTCCATGTCCTGACGTCTCTCGCCTCGACTCAATGGGCTAGCTGCTCATCAACTTGACGCCTTGCAGCGCGTATCTCTGGCGTCCCCTTCCTGAGTTGCTCCCTCGAGGGTCACTCTCCCATCCCCCTCCGTCAGCCATGTGCTTCATCTTCGTACGTCGTGCCTCCGGTTCCCACACGAGTCTCACCACCGCTTACCAGTCAGCCAGCCCCGTCGCCGTCCGCGCGACAATGATAAGGCGAAGCGCTCCCTCGGTCGTACCGTCACCATGCCCATCTTCTCGCGCACCAACAAGGACAGCCTACCGACCCTACGCAACATGGTCAACCTCTCCACAATCCTCACCCCGACCAAGGGTGCCTGGCTCGACACCACATCCTCGACGGCCACGGCGACGACCCCGCGAACCACGGCCACCACAAGGAGCCTGCCGCGCATCAACGTCAATGGCCTCGACCACCACCCCGATCTCCTCGACGACATCATCTCGCCAATCCTCGCCCGCACCGACATTCCGAGCTTCTATACCAACGACCCCCGCAACATTGATGTCAACAATGCCTGCATGGACAAGCTGCGGCGCGCCTTCGACGACCTCCTCAAGCGCCGCTCCATGATCCGCCGCGAGACGACCATATCGCGTGATCAGTTTGTCGCCTGGCTCGAGAGCATGCAGGGCGAGAGTCCCGCTGATGTGGAGAAGCACTTGCCCGAGGACAAAGATCGGTACACCCAGGGCGAGTTCCTCGAAGCCTGGCTCATGCGCTTCGACTGGGACGCCGAGCGCCCAGCCTGCCCCGACAAGGACACCAGCCGGCCCATCACAAACTACTTTATCAGCAGCAGCCACAACACCTACCTCGAGGGGAACCAGCTTGCCTCCAAGAGCTCCCCGGAAGCCTACAGAGAGGTCCTGTCCCGCGGCTGCCGCTGCATCGAGATTGACGTCTGGAACGGCGACACCGTGGCCGCCGGTTCGGAGACGAATCGATCCAAGAGTCCTCGGCCCGATCACAGCCGCAACCTCTCGGGGGCCTCCTTTGCCAACGTCGCCGCCAGTCTGAAGGAGACGGTGGGCGGCGTTCTCGGTGGAGGTGGGGCGGGCGATCGCGCCTCAACGCACAGCCGGAGCCTGAGCGCCCAGAGCAGCTCGGGGCTGGGTCTGCGCGACAGCGGTTTTCTGTCAGATCCGAGAGTCTCCGGCGACAAACTCGAAGGCGGTGCCGTCGTGGTGCCGCCCTGCCCGCCGAGCCCGCGTTTGCCGTACCCCAAGAACGAGCCCATTGTGACCCACGGCTGGACCTTGACTACGCCCTGCGGCTTCCGCGAGGTCTGCGTCGCCATTCGCGAGTCGGCTTTCGTAACCAACGACTTGCCCATCATCATCAGCCTCGAGGTTCACGCCGACCACCAGCAGCAGGAGGTCATGGTCGCCATTATGAAGGAGGAATGGGGTGATATGCTGATCGACAGGGCCATGGACGGCCTTGACCAGAGATTTCGCGTGCCCAGCCTCGAGGAGCTGCGGGGAAAGATCCTCATCAAGTGCAAGAAGCCGCCCAAGAAGATCGAGGTGCCGTTCGGCTCGATGCGCCTGACGAAAAGCAGGACGCAGGAGGAAGACACATCGGCATCTGACGAAGACAACGCGAGCCAGCAGCAGCAGCAGCAGCACCACCGCCATCACCCTTCGGGCACCGCGCCCAAGAGCCCTCCGCCTACGACCGGCGCACCGCCCAAGGCGGCCAAGGTGCCCGTGTGCGCGGCGCTAGGCGATCTCGCCATCTACACGCACAGCGAGCACTTCAAGGGCTTCGAGACGGTCTCGAAGAAGCCGAGCCACATCTACTTCATCGCGGAGAGCAGGATTCTCGAGCTGTACGCGACGATGCAGAGCGCCGTCTTTACGCACAACAAGAACTACTTTATGCGCGCCTTTCCCAACGGCGCCCGCTTCGACAGCTCCAATCCGGACTCGAGTCTCTTCTGGCGCAAGGGCGTCCAGATGGTCGCCCTCAACTGGCAGTACTTGGACGAGGGCATGATGCTCAACGAGGGCATGTTTGCCGGTGAGCAGGGCTGGGTGCTCAAGCCTCCGGGCTACCGGACCTCGGACAAGACGTGCTTCGCGCAGGCAGACGCCCCGCACGCCGGTACGTTGATGCTCTCCATCTCGATCCTCGCCGGCCAGCACATTTGGGCGCCGGAGTCTACGGAAAGCGACAGCGGCTGGAGTGGTAGGAACCTCCGGCCCTTGGTCAAGTGCGAACTCCACGTGGAGCGGACGGGGAGCAGCAATCGCATGACAGGCGGGAGCGGCGGCGCATCGTATGATGGCAAGTATAAGCTGGAGACGGCACCGATGAAGACGAGTCATCCTGATTGGGGCGACAAAGGCGAGCTCCTCAAGTTTCCGCTTGTTCCCAAGGTAGTGGAGGAGCTCAGTTTTGTGAGGTAAGATCCCAACCATCTTCTTTTCTTCCTCCTCCGCCCCCTCCGAAATATATGGCGTGCGTTGCTCTGGCAATCGAGTGATCTTGTCAACGCAGCAACAAGCAGCATCCGCTGCTGCAAACGCTGGCACTCGCAAATGGCAGATTGGAAAGTTGCCTCTCTTCAAGAATTTACGTGTCAACCGCCTGTGAGCAACCGCAATTTGATCGGCGAGGTGGTCCCGATCTCCCGTACCAACGCCCTGTCTAGTGAGAACACGGCTGGTGCAACAGAAGGAGAGCTTGCAGCCTTGGAAGCAGGCGAAACGAAGTCTTCTTTTTTCACGCATTGGTACAATGGTACCAAAGGAAGCGGGTGCGGCGGGTGTCCCGCGCCACAAACGACACATCCATGCCGAACCCTCAAACGACGACCTGCTGCCACGGCCCGTGTTGGACATGCAGCTGTCAGGCTGCCGCGGGATTGCCACTTACATACGGCCTGGGGAAACACAGGGCGGGAGTGGTGGTGACATGCACTAAAAGGAAAAAAAGAGAGGGCTAGTTGCCTGCCGCGTGAATGACCCCTTTGCTGACCGCCATTTACTTGTTCCAGGTTTAAAATCGAGGATGTTTCACGAATGGGCCGCGACGAGCTGTTGTCGTGGGCTTGTATCCGTCTCGACCGCCTGCGGCCCGGCTATCGCTATGTCAGGCTGATGGACACCAAGTGTCGACCGATTAAGGACGGCAAGCTGCTCGTTCGAATAAGCAAGGTATTCAGATGACCATGCTATGGGACCCTGGCGCATCTGATAGGGTCGGAGATCTATAAGGAGCTTCTTTTCTCAGGTTTCTCTCATCTTTTCTTCTTTCATTCCCCCTCCTAAGGCATGGAGGGCAACATGGACTGTTAGTGGGCTTTGGCCAAGCATGGCGTTCAGGTTATATTGACTTTTGTCGGTCTGGAGGTGTGTCTGTATGTGCGCCAACATGAAAAATAAATTAAAATCCGTGTCCCGTTTGCTCGATTGAAGATTTTGGCTGAGAAGTTGGCCCTGGACCTCAGATCTTTTACTTGATAGCCGGTATCTGTTCCGTGGAGTCGGGCAAACACAGCCGAACAAGATATTGGGAACTGGGATCGAGAACCCAGTCCACGTTTGCTGGACGATATCTATTAGCCTGTGAGCCTTGAGGCTGCCGAATGAGACAAAGTGATTTAAAGATAAGAAGATTGTTCATGCGCCACTCAAGCGGCTGCCCACCTCAACCAAACTCAGGTTGGGTGGCGTGTGGTGTGTTCAGCGACTTCACTTCGGGCTTGGCGGAACCCTTGAACTTTGTTCACTTAGGTACGAGCTGGATTTATGAGACTCAGATCCTGGTTCTATAACATCATCATGGTGCCGTATTGGTGACGCAAGCTTATGGTTTCCTGCGTGATGGTGACGATACTCGCTCGGTGCAGAGTGGTGGTGATCTTAACGAAGACACCATACGACCATGCCCGCTCAGCATTGTAGGAGACACGCCTGTTCAACAGGCATCGTGGGGCGTGTACCAAGGCACAGGAGCTGTCTTAGCACTGGGGGTCACTAGTCAGTCTGTTTCTTTTCCTGCATCTCTGTTGGTGCCAAGACAACTCGTTTGTTTGAGACAGAGCAGAACAGGACTGATGCGCCGGATGTGATATGTGATTAGTGGCAACCCATGAGTACCCCACGCCGGTGAGCCAGAGGCCCATCTGCCTAGCTTCATACGCCTGGAACACTTAATGACATTGTTGGGGCCGGGCGGCTCGGTCTGGGAGTGTGTCAGGCCTCCAGCCAATGGTGCTGCGATTGTGACGGCTCATCAACAATGAGGCTTCGCGTTCATGGTGGACCGGAGTGCAGGTGCCGACAGCCCGATTGAACCAGTCATCTCCAGCTTGTAATTACATGAGTGATGATTTGGCAGGCGCTTGCCAAACAGCTTGCCTTGGTGTAACATTTCCGACGGGGCGGGGAGGCTCCAGTGTTGCACCAACACGTGGGTAACGCGGAACTGACGAATGACACTGGAACAGCATGGATCAACATGAGTCGCAGGAGTGTAGCAGTGCACCAAGCCCCAGGTGTTGATCTGTCGTGGCTATGACTGAGGGTATGGAGAGTTCCACGTGCCTGCCCGCCGTGGTTGGCATGGCTGATAAGGCGCAAGCGTGGTACCGACAGAGTGGTTCGCGATCTGGGCGAGCAAGTGAGGCAGTGTGGAATGGTGTTCCAGAGACCTGAGGTTGCAAAGGGCGCTGATATGACCACACCCTCACCCAAGAGAGTCTCGGTGTAACCTCCCTTTTCGGCAATTGCATCGGTGGCAGGAGGACAAGCGGGGATCTCGCGGGAGGAACCCTAAAACCGACGCAGACGAAAGAGATGCCTACCGGCAAGATCTTGTCAATCACTTGAGGTCCGGACACCAAAAGCTAGATCTCGGTAGCTCGACATTCTAGCAGCATCAGGACGCAATAACAACAACAACAAGAAGAAGAAAAAGGAAACGAGACAGCCTGACCCGAGACGAGGAGATCTCTGGTGGGCGGGAGATTTGCTCAAACTCAAGCCCAGGTCACCCCAAACAAAGCCGAGGCTGATGCTTGAGATTATATGGTCGTCATTGATTTGGACAAAATCCCTGGCTTTGGCTTCGATACCTGATGCCGAATGTGATGTATCAGGTTTCATCCACACCCAACCCTGTATGCTAAGGATGCCAACGGGGAGGTAGCCAAAGAAGCGTGCAACCATGAAAGGACACCCAATCAAA